AGCGGCCGAGCCCCGCAAAGGGGTCACAGCCGCGCCCCCCGCCCGGCCGCGCCAGCCTCCCCCACGCGCGAGCCGTGTGCCCTGCGCCCAGGGGGACGTGAGCGACCAGCCGGCGGGGACAGAGGAAAGAAGAGGAGAGTAAATAAGGCAGCTGCGGCGGAATGCGCCCCCTAGATTCCCGGGCACTCGTGCGCCCTGCTGGGTGCCTGGAGCCCCCTTCCACCTCCTTTCCCCTGGCCTCCAGTCTACTCACCTTCAAAGCCTAACTCAGATGCCACCAACTTTTCTGGGACATTCTCTCGGACACTATTTCAAGTTAATCATTTCTTTCTCTATGTTTGCATGTCTCTCCTTGTTAATCCTGTTAGATTATAAATTACTTGAAGACAAGAGGGTTTTTACGTCTGAATAGCCTCCTCCTGCCCTGATGGGAAGCGCTCATCCCGCAAATGTTCGCGGAGTCTAAGAATGTGACTGCCAGTGGCAGGGGAGGAAACGGGGGCGCTGGAGGCCTCCGCCTGGATGGGCCTGGGGCTGGTGACCGGAGGGCCACGAGAGTCAGAAAAGGGCTCAAGAACCAGAGGGGGTGATGCAGACAGACGAAAATTCAGCACAAATCAAGATTAATTTTTCTGCCGGGGAAAGCTAAACTTTGGTTTCCCTACCTGGGAAAACAGACCTGAAGCTCATGTGTATTTTATGGAAGGAAAGGACACAATTTTTCCCCACCTAATTTACTAATCCACAGTGAAATAAAAAACGGAAAGCCAAACAACGAAGCCCTCAGTATCAGATCTGGATTTTGTTTTAAATTTTTGTTGAATTTATTGGGGTGACATTGGTTACTAAGATTATATAAATTTTAAGTGTACAATTTTATAATACATCACATCTATATATTGTACTGTTTACTACCCAAAACCAAGTCTCCTTCCATCACCATTTACCCCCCCCCAATCTTTTTTGACAGTTACAGTTCACATTCAATACAGACCTGAATTTTAACCTTTAACTTCTACTCCTGACCTCTCTAATCCCTTCAACTGGACTCTAAACTTTTGTAAGAATAAAACAAATTGACGTTTTTGTTTTACTTTTTCTCCATTTCCCAACTTTCTGAAGGAGCAGTTAATGTGTAGTGAAATGAATACAGGTAGGAAAGGAAGGAGGGAGAGGTAACTGGGACAGAACCATGAGCTGGATGGCTTTAGATGGATGTGTTTAAATCGGGCTCTGCTACCTGTCTCGGAAATGGGGGGAGTGATTGCTTGGAAAAATTGCATGAGAAATAAACTAGACAGAAAAGCGCGTAGCGCATGGAGTGTAGTGTACTTTGAGTAAATTGCATGCAAGTGGTAGAATATGCAGAAGTTAAAAAGGGTATGCAAGCCCTGGCCAGGTAGCTCAGTTGGCTAGAGCATCATCCAGACCGGATATGTCAAGGTTGTGGGTTTGATCCCAGGCCAGGCAGGGCACACACAAGAATCAACCAATAAATGCATGAATGACTGGAATAACAAATCGATGTTTCTCTCTCTCTTCCTCTCTCTAAAAATAAAGTTAAAAAAATTTAAAAAAATTCCCTACACAAAAGCTTTAAAAGGGGGCTGGCCTGTGTGGCTCAGTGGTTAGAGCATCACCCTGTGCATTGAAGGGTCCTGGGTTCAGCTCCCCATCAAGCGCATATACCTGGGTTTGGGGTTCCCTCCCAGCTGGGGCCAAGGTGCGTGTGGGAGGCGACCAGTAGATATGTCTCTCTCACATCGATGTTTCCCTCTTTCTCTTCCCCTCCCTCCCTCCCTCCCTCTCTCTCTGAAAAGCAATGGAAAAAATATTCCCTGGTGAGGATTAACAAAAAAAGGGGGGGGTTATGCGCCCAGGTTTCCAGTTTGATCCCCGGTTGGAGTGTGTGCAGGAGGCAGCCGATTGACGTTTCTCTCTCCCTTCCTCTCTCTAAAATCAATCCATAAAAAACAGGGGTATGCAAAAAGTTAAAAAGGGGAAAGTAAGTCTTGCTCCCCAACTTACCTTGTTCTCTCAATCCTCTGGGTCGATTCTCAGTGCCATTATGTGTACTCACTGTGCGTTTCCTTCTTTCCTCGAGTTAGCTGTAATGATGTAACTCAGATCTAAAATTCTCACCTATAGAATGGAATGGTTCTCAGCACTCCATAATTACTATGTTGTAATTAACATGCTACACAAATATGAGGTGTTATTATTCTTAAAAGGAAAAGCAAGGCCTAGACAAACATTGTGTTTTTAGCTTTATTTAGAAAGAGTCTCTTGGATCCTTAGAGTCAGCCCAGCTTGACTGCTTTGTTCCGTTGGGAGAATTCCCATTCCTCGTCTTGACCTCAGCAGGAGAGGAAGGCTGAGACTATGCTGCCTGACCCTGCCTTGCTCTGTCCCACAGGTAATCACCTACTCCAGCCGTCATGTCTACAATAACTTGACTGAGGAACAGAAGGGCCGAGTGGCCTTTGCTTCCAATTTCCTGACAGGAGATGCTTCCCTGCAGATTGAGCCCCTGAAGCCCAGAGATGAGGGTCTGTACACCTGCAAGGTGAAGAATTCAGGGCACTATGTGTGGAACTACGTCATCTTAAAAGTCTTAGGTAAGAGAGTGTAAAGGTAAATGCCTACATCTTATTAATAAAGTCTGGGCAAGGGATAGCCAAATGTATCATGGTGCGACAAAACTTCTTGTTCAGTACTTTTTTTTATTGAATTCATTGGAGGGACATTGGTTAATAAAACTATATAGGTTTCAGCTGTACAGTTCTATAATCCATCATCTGTATAATGTATTGTGTGTTTACCACTGGAGTTGTTCAGTACTTTGGATTATACATTCGGATGTCACCTAGTCCAGTTCCCTCAGAAGATGTTGTGCATTTTAGCCATAATGAAAGAAGAAAAAAATAATCACAATTTTCTTTGGTAGCCCATTAAAAAAATTAACTATCCTCTAATATTTGAATGATTCCTTATATTTAACTTAAATATCTCAGATATTTAAATCCATTTGTTTTAATAGCAGGAACTACTTTCTATTTAATATCTTCCAAATTAATGAACTTCTATCCCTGTTTCAGTATTAGAAAAACCACACTCAACTTTCCTAAAATTTTCAATTAAATGTGTTTGTTTTTTGAGAATGGTGTAGTTTCTGAGGCAGCCTCTGAAAATTACACCAGCACCACTGGCAGCAGCTGGAAGTGGGTATATGAGTGTACAAGGGATAGAGGTGGGCGTATTTCTGGGGGCGATGTAACACATGGCTAGGTGAGCAGGTAAAGGCTAGACTCCCCACTCAAAAGCTGACCATAAGGCTGGCTGGGGAAACAACTCAGCAGGACATAGTTCTTCATTGAACCTACTGTGTGGGGATCTTTGAATCAGTACTTTTTTCTTTGTCAGTGAGACCATCAAAGCCCAAGTGTGAGCTGGAAGGAGACCTGACAGAAGGCAGTGACCTAGCTCTGCAGTGTGAGTCAGCCTCTGGGACAAAGCCCATCATGTATTCCTGGCAGCGAGTCCCGGAGAAGGAGGGAGAGGAGGAGCATCTGCCTGCCAAGGCTAGGATTGGTAAGTCATCTTCCCACCAGTCCACTAGACAGCAGGACAGCACTCTATCCGAGAATTTTAAACTGGACAGCAACTCACCATGTGACCTCAAATACACTACTGAATCTCTGAACTTCCATTTTTTATCCACAAACTGGGACTGTCTTTTCTTTCCTCAAATGGGTAGTCTAAGTGGTAAAAGACATTAGAAAGAAATGTACCATGTAAATCCATTATATCTATCTTGGTTAGTACCCCTTAAATGTTCACAACCTTTTATAACTTTTGAGGATTCGCTATAATTAAAAAAATGGTCCCCTTTCTTCCCACGTTCCAAAATGGGATCTGTTCTATCAACTGTCTCATCCTTACCGAACTGTATTAGAGAATCTTAGTCACTGATGTAATAAACAGTAAGCATAGACCCTGCCACTCGGGGAGTCACATCCCTCTTTCTGCTGCTGTAGACGACAGCCACCCGGGACGCCTTCTGCTGCGGAACCTCACCATGTCCTCCTCTGGGCTCTACCGGTGCACAGCAGGCAACGAGGCGGGGAAGGAGAGCTGCGTGGTGCGCGTCACTGTGCAGTGTAAGTGTCCGAGGCTGTGTTTTTCTTTCTTTTTGCATGTGGCTCAGTGTAAAACATGTTTAATCACCAGTGAGAGTAAGGTCAAGGTAAAAATATTTCCAGAAGAACATGGCTATCATTAAAATAAATTCAGTAGTTGCAAAGACCATTCAGCAGTGTAGTTAACTCTGTATTTACAATTCTGTGTGAATTTACCAGCTCCCTAAAGAAACATTATATCCAGGAGGGGACCAAGTGGAGATTTCCTTTATAAATGTAAATTTCCCTTACAAAAGGGTAACTTTTGTTTTCCAAGCTTTTCCTGTATCTGCAGTTTGTCAAAAATAATCAGCTTAAAATAATCTTGAAGAGGCATGTTTTGGGGTGGCATGTTCTACTATCCTTCAACACCAAGCAGGATAGTCATACACCAAGAGTGGGTAAATGAGGAACTCGGGAAAATAGCTATAAAGATCTGGAGATACTCATCCGGTCTGGGGTTTATGCTTTTTTAAGTTCATGCATTTCCTAGCTTATGTTTCATTTTATTTCTGCGTTCGTTTCTGAGAAAACAGATGTACAAGGCATTGGCATGGTTGCGGGAGCAGTGACAGGCATGGTGGCTGGGGCCCTGTTGATTTTCCTCTTGGTGTGGCTGCTAATCCGAAGGAAAGACAAGAAGAGATACGAGGAAGAAGAGAGACCTAATGAAATTCGGTAAGCCTCCCTCCAAAATCTCCTCTTCCACTAGGCTTCCTTCCTAGGCCAGCTCCATAGTGACCAGCCCACATAAATGTTCTATTTCCTCTTAGCCAGGAATCTGTTTAAAGGGTTATTCGGCAGGTAAGGAGTTCAGCCTAGGGCAAAAGGTCTGGTTTACCTGGACATTAAACAATCTGTCCTCAGCAGAGATGTAAGAGCTCAACTTCACATTACTCCTGGTTCACTTCTGCTTAGAAAGGGCATCAGGCATAGCCTATGGGCCACAAAAGGGTTTGCACAGACAAACCGCAAATCAAGGGGAGTGCAGTCTAGACCATCTCAATGGGGAGTGCGTATTTTCCCAGAGTAACAGAGTTGATCTCTGAGCTAACAAAGGCCTAAGCCAAACATTAAGCTTCAGAAAATGGGGAAGTCCCCATTTGCCTCAATGACTGCCTTCCAATGGTATTACTTGAGGTTTCCAGCTTGAGGAGTTTATTGGGAACCCTCAGAAGGAAGCAACCATGGTGGAAACTATCACAGTCTTACCAGTATTAAATTCTATCTTTGCTGTTTTTTCTCTTCAGAGAAGATGCTGAGGCCCCGAAAGCCCGCCTTGTGAAACCGAGTTCCTCTTCTTCAGGCTCCCAGAGCTCACGCTCTGGCTCTTCCTCCACTCGTTCCACAGCAAATAGTGCCTCCCGCAGCCAGCAGACACTGTCGACCGAGGCAGCCCCCCAGCCAGGGCTGGCCACTCGGGTATACAGACTAGTGGAGCCAGAGGCGAGAGGTGCTGAACCAAAGAAAGTCCACCTTGCTACCCTGACCAAAGCAGAAACCGCACCCAGCACGATCCCCAGCCAGAGCAGACCCCTCCAAACTGTCTAATTACAGCGGACTTTGACTCCCATGCTTTCCTTGGAATCTTAGGACTTTTCTAGTCACTGTAGTTCAGTCACCAGCCACACAATCCCCTTGGGTCATGAGAGGTCACTTATGTAGCAGGGGACACTGCAAGGAACAGATTCAAAGGGGCACTCTCCTTACATGACATGAAACGAGAAAGAATGTAAGCTGATCATCTCCCAAAAGGGTTCAGACAAGAGTGGGGGGAAGCCGGGGTCCAAGTCTGTGTATTTGTTGACCAGGACAGGTCGTGAGAAAGGTTGAGGGAAGGGGAGGTGAACCCATGTAAAACTTCTCACCTGAGATGTTTTGTATCAACACTTCAAGTCACAATTGTCAAGAAGAAATGAAGTGTTTTCTCATAAATTTTCTATGCCTTTCTGCAAACCTGTTGGATTATTGTTATCACCCAGAGAGTCAAGCAGAACCCACACCTTATATCACACCTCTGGACCATGTCCTGGGATTATCACTTCTGAGAAACTCCAAAAAAGGAAACGTCTCCTAATCTGTCTTGACCTCGTTTACCTTAAGATTTGGATATTAACTCAAGGGGAATTGAAATAATGGGAGATGGAGAACAACTGAGTTTCTCCCACTCTGTCCAGCACTAATTTCCCTCTACTTATATTGAACCATTAGAGAACTAAAAAAGGTGTCCAAAATGTGTGACAAGGGACTGAAAAACTTTTCATCTGAATGATGTTCAGAGGGTCACTGACAATTCAGAAATGTATACTGGAACAACGGTGGGTTTTCCCTCAAATCAGATGTCTCTAAGGACTTCCCTGCTGGACCTCTCTGGAACAAGAAAACATTCATTACATGTCATTTACCAAGGTCCTTAGAAAGAAGTCTTACAGGAAAAGAGAGATCTTTTAAAGATGCTGAAAGATCATCTGACGTACTATTATAGTCTTTCTGAGAACATACAAAACCAGAATTTCAAGACTGGACTAGAAAGGAAGATTACATCAATTTTCTTAATGTCATAAAATGGCATCAGGAAGTTTAGAATTGCACCAAACTTGGAGCATTCTCTATTTGTTTCATTTTAGAAAAGGGATGTGAACCTGGGACTTCTGATGATTCTAGGCCTTCAATTACCAGAAAGATCAGGGGTTGCCAACATTTCCTAATGGCACTGCAAATATGTCAAAATCATTCCTGCCTTACCAGCTTAGCCTCTAAGAAGTCTAGCTCTGGGCTACAGGAAAATGGAATTAACATTTAGGGAAGAGATGGTAAGGATTNGAGAAGTGGAGACAGAGAAAAGTTCAGTCTTTTACCAGCTTAGCCTCTAAGAAGTCTAGCTCTGGGCTACAGGAAAATGGAATTAACATTTAGGGAAGAGATGGTAAGGATTTCTAGTGAGTGGCAGGAGAGGTCTGGGTTAATGCCAGTTAACACTGATTATTGGCATCTTGGAAAGGCTTAGCAGAAATGGTTCACCGGGATAGCTCTCAAAAGAGCTGGTCCATGGGAAAAGAAAGAGGTCTGAAAAATTAAAAAAACAAACAGCAGCCTCCAATAAAATAACTTGCCCATTTAATAGTTTTGACTACTATGCTACTCAAATTCATCCTATGCAAGAATTCAAAACCTGAAATAGCCCTTCGAGGACCCTAGTGCAAATGTCAACAGATCACTAGTAGAGCAAAAGATTTATTATTAGAAGGGCAACAGGCTACAGAAAAGAAAAAGTAATGCTGAACATGGTGATGAAAGCACTGCTTCTAAATCAGTTTAAAGGGAAAAGGTTGATCTAGGATTGTGCCCCATTTCTCTGGTTTTTCATTCCTACATTTAACTCTCACAAGTGTCCTCACATACTGCAAATGCATTCTTTCTAAAGCCCTTTAAGAAACGTGTTTGCCCTGGTCAGCGTGGCTCAGTGGTTAGAGTGTTGGCCCACACACCGAAGGGTAGTGGGTTCAATTCCCAGTCAAGGGTACATACCTGGGTTGCAGGTTTGATCCCTGGCCCCAATAGCAGCAACCAATCAATGTGACATATGGATGTTCTCTCTCTCTCCCCCCCTTCCTTCCACTCTCTATAAATCAATGGAAGAAATATCCTTAGGTGAAAATTAACAAAATAACAACAAAAGAAATAGGGGTTTATCCTTGGGTGAAAGTTTTCATCTGCGTTGTCTTACTCTAAAAAAGTTAAGAAGTAAGAGACATTAAGGAAGTAGTGTAAAGAATGTCTGGTGTTAGTTTAAGAGGGCTACCAAATTTGGAATGTTTCTTGTACTGATACTGCCTCATTGTAAGATATAAAATCCCTCACTTTACTTTTTCATTCTTCTGGTGGTGGTATCCAGCTTTNGGGCTACCAAATTCGAAATGTTTCTTGTACTGATACTGCCTCATTGTAAGATATAAAATCCCTCACTTTACTTTTTCATTCTTCTGGTGGTGGTATCCAGCTTTGTATCATTTCTGCTATGTAATACTGAGAATTCTCATTCCCAGAGTACCTGAGCCAAAAGGGGGCATGGTGGAGGCTGCTGCTCTACCATCACTAGCAGTTTTGCTCTGATCATTATTTCCTACCTTTGAAAGTAAGGTTTCATGCCCACGCCTTTGAAAGTAGGAATCAGTCCCCTTTGCATGAAAAGGATGTTTAGGTTATTTAAACATGTAGTTATCAGAAGACTAAAATACCAGTTAAATACAGATTCTTTTGGAAATCTATTCACACTGGAAATCTACAAAAAAGTCACAAAACTGGTAACTACCTAAAACCTGAGAAATTCTAGGGCTTGTGTTGATGTCTTAGCAACGATAGTGTACTTCTCTGAGTCAGGCTTTTGGGTTATGTCAGGCTCTGGGCTTAAAATACATTTTGAGCCACTACTGTTTTCAAACCACATTCCATTAACTTTGCAAGTCAAATAANCTATGTCAGGCTCTGGGCTTAAGATACATTTTGAGCCACTACTGTTTTCAAACCACATTCCATTAACTTTGCAAGTCAAATAAATTTGATTCTTGAACATGAAACAAAAAGGATAAAATCACTAAACGAGAGAAGAAAAATATGTTAGGAGGAAGATACAGAATGATGTGAATATTTAGAGAATAACCATTTCAATAAAATATATAAACCAAACTTAAAACTGTAATATAATAAAGCTGATGCCTTTGTTGTTACACTGTATAAAAACAATTTCAGAATTGCTGTTGCAAAAAGACAATAATTTTGCTTTATTTCTGTTAAGCCATTTATACTTTAACCTTAACTTCTAAGTTGCCTTGTAATTGGGACTTTGATCACAAAAAACAAGTATTTATTACAGATACATCTGTACGGGCAATTAAAAAATAAGTAAGTAAAGGTGATACTGTAGGAGAGGCTGAAGCTCATATAACCTACACTGGGAATTTATTAGCTTTCTGCCAGCTGAAGAACAGAAGAACTCAGACTGAGTATGGTCTATTATTTATTGATTTNGTTTATTAGCTTTCTGCCAACTGAAGAACAGAAGAACTCAGACTGAGTATGGTCTATTATTTATTGATTTCAGTCNGCGCCCACAAACCGAGGCCCCCAGCGCCGGTTGGCCTGCAGGCAAAAAGCGCGAACCTCCTCTCCCCCATAACCGCGAGGTTGAGGGCGCGGGCGAGCGGAGGGGCTGAGCCGAGAAGCCGGTGTCCCGGCGGGGGTGGGCAGGGCAGCGGGCCCGGGCTCCCCCGGGGTCTGAGCAGGCCCCCCGGAGCTCCGCCCGGGGCGCGAGCCCCCGGTGCCCTCGTGGGACGACGGTGNTCAGTCACAGATATACCAAGCACGTTTTTCTCACAAGGTAAGATGCTAAATAGTACTGGAGATAACCAAGTGATGATAGAGTTCATGCTCGAGCCCGCCCTTACGACTTTATCAAAATAACCACCAATATTTACTATGCAAATATTTTATGCAAGGTAAAGTACAAACAGAAAAGTAAACACTAAGGGAGTCAAATAATTCTGAAAAAGTCACAGAATTAAATGAGGTAATACAATACAGACAAAGCACTGAGAACAGAGCTTGGCACGTGACAGGCATTCAAAAACGTTAATCATAACCCTCTTCCCAGTCAGCAACCCCAGGCCTCAGACCCCTGCACCGCCGCCCCCGTCAGTGCAGACACCGTGTTTGAAACCCTGTGCATTTAGAGGTGGTGACAGGACATTAATCATATCCTGAACTTTAAATATATAGATTCGGAATCATTCTATTTCATAAGAACACAGTCCGTCCTAGAACGCATTTTGAGTGACCAGAAACAGAGTTTATCTGTTCTGCTTTCAAAATCACTGTGATTCCACGGACTACCCCAAACCAGTGGAGTTGGGCCCCAGTTCTGTTTTCCCCTGGCTCAATGGCTAAAACGTCGTAGGCAGTTCAGGGATTACAAAAGCTGCAAAAGACAGGGTGTAGCTCAGAGGCTGTACTTAATAAACCGGGTGGGGAAAGGAAGACTGCAGACACCAAGAAAGGCGCCTGCCAGCACGCACCTTCCTCTTTCGGGAGTCGGAGTTAGGGTGTTTCTAACTCCCTAGGAAATAATTTACAGCGTAACTAAAAAAAAAAGACCAAAGAATCTGGAATCAATGAGCTACGTTTGACTGTAGCTCAGCTAGTTGTTTACTTCCCACAAATAACATCTCAACCTCATTTTTCTCCTAACAGGAGTGACCGATAAATATCTCAGAAAACTGTTTTGATTAAATGAGGTAACAAACGAAAGCATTACCGTGTCAAAGCATCATGTAAGTTTAACTTCCTGAGCGGTGCTCCACGGAATCAAGCGATCGTTCCCCCCAAAAGGCAAATAGAGAAAGAGAATCTGTTGGAGCGTCTCCGGGCTGCGCCGGCCCGGGGCCGAGGCGC